TTACGCAATTTTTTTCTAACAGTTTCTTAGACAAGAATTTCTAGTGCTTCTTGCAAAGAACCCTCTACGATCCTGAAAAAACTTAAAAATCCAGTTCCCTAAGGATGAAAATTACCTGCGACTGGTGCCTCTGCACACTGATGACCTTTTGTAGAAGTGCACTCAACGTTAATGTGTCGCTCATTCAAGGAAGCGTGCACCCGCTGAGTGTGCAATAGGGCATAACCTTACGGTAAAATTTGCATTTAAAAGGAAATTCGATTTATTTTATTGTATTACCTGCATGAGACTAATGACACTAATGACCTTGTAAGGACATCGTTGTAATTACACGGTAGAATGACTTATAATCCTATACGAAGGCTAAAAGAACAGGATTTTACCTTCCAAAACAACTATTAGGAAAGTAGAAAGGTAGAGAAAGCGATTTCCAGCAAAGTGGAACGAAAGCTCCTTCTGTCTTATACATTATTCATAGGAAGGTAGATTAATCATCGAATAAGATCATACCTGGAGTCTAAGATGAGGTTCCTTTACTGCGTTCATAGATTTACACAGCCCTTACTTTATCTCCTGTATTGTTAGTGAATAAATAAGAGTTAGAAGTGGTAAGGAGGAGGAGGAGGAGAGGAAAGGGAAGGAGGAGGTGAAGGAAAGGGGGTAGGGAGGGCTGCTATATAAGTAGGTTCGCACCTTATCATTACTATATGAAAATGGGTTTGCTTGGAAAGAGAAAGTACTCTGTTATCAAGTTTCAGATATCTTTAGTAACCTTGCTGCTCGAGTAGGGTGTGCTCCACGGCGAAGTTATGACCCATAGCTTATCTCTATCTTTATATTTCATACGTTAGCTCTTTACGGGTATTCTTCATATCCAAAAATAGATCTGCTAGGAACGGGAATACGTAGCACCTTTGAAACACCCAGTGAGCCCTTTTCCGAATTGCTTATGAACTTGAACATATCTTTCGCGGTACTCTTCCGAATAAGCGGAGCAGAATAACATAGTTTTGGACTCTGGTTTTCGTGGATTCAGTTTCTTCTACAGAAACACATCACACCCTGCAAAGATAGCCTAGAAAAATCTTTGAACCCACTCTTGATTGGTGGAAATGCTGTTAAGGTAACGAATTGCCTTACCAGAAATTGCTTTAAAAGAACGAGCAACATATTCGAAAACAGCGATAGGACTACCGAATCAAACTATAAGCATTGTTCGGTGAGACGTTAT